TGGGGACTCTCAGTGGCCCCCAAAGAGGAGAGTAGGCACACCAGGGAAACTGATCCTAGGTTTTGGCATCAAAATGAAGGAAAAGTGAGGAATGAGAGACAGGTAAATAAGAAATGAAAGATGGAGACCAGGCAGAGATACACACAAGAGTGTCAGAGCTGAAAAATAAAGGCCATCTCTCTATACGGAGAGAGGCAAAACAGTCTTGGCTTCTGGGACTTTTATGATAAGGGCAGGCTCAGAATCAGAGCTGGGCAGGTCCTAAGGTGGGCAGTTAGAGTTTGGGTTGCTATGAGGGAGTGGTGAGCCTTTCTCAGAAACACCCTTGGGCAGGAAAGCCACTTAAAATGTCAGCAGTCACTTAAGATGGCCATCCAGATGCTAAGCAAGGATCTTATATTCCCCCCTTTTTTGTAGTGAGGTTTGAATGCAGTGATACATTTACAGCTCAGCCCATTACAAACAGTGGCTCAATAAATCATGATAGTTGAARTTATTAAAGATGGCCTATGAACTGAGGGAGTTTTTTAAATTTTTTTTTAATTTTTTCATTGTTGATGGATCTTTATTTATTTACTTATTTGTATGTGGTGCTGAGAATCGAACTCAGTGCCCCATGCATGCTAGGCAAGCACACTACCACTGAGCCACAACCCCCGCCCAAAAAGTCACCAAACATTTCTGTAAAGCACCAGATAGTAAATAGTTTAGGTGTTTTCCAGCAATACCATCTGTGTTACAACTGCTCAGAGCCGTAATAGGGGATGAGACATACTTATAGTAAATACATGGGTAGCTGCTTGTCAGTAAAAAGTCTTTACAAAAATGTGGAATTTGGCTCCCAAGGTATTGTTTGCCAACTCTTATCTAAATTCTTGATTGAAGGGAACACTAAAGTTAAAGTAGATTTTAGTGAAAACAAAAATGTTATTCTTTTATCATGGAAGTCCTGAATTTTATCTCTTAATAAGGTGTTCTTTTAAAGGATAAAATTTGGGGTCTAGGGATGTCGCTTCGTAGTAGTCAACTTGCCTAACATGCACTAGGCCCTGGGTTCAACCGCCAGCACATAGATAAATGAAGGAATTAGCACTTAGAATAAATAGAAGGTATTAGATGGAACTTCAATAGCACTTAGATTACATTAGCACTTAGATAAATAAAGTAATTCTCTTTACTAATGTAACGGGAGTTCACTTGATGCTTTGACTATATCCCTTGTCGCTTTGAAACTTACATGTTTTTTTTTCTTTTTCCCAATCTTTTTTTTTTTTTAAAGGGGGCGGGGAGAAGAGAGAGAATTTTTTTTAAGTATTTATTTTTCAGTTTTTTTGGTGGACACAACATCTTTATTTTTTTTAATGTGGTGCTGAGGATCGAACCCAGCACCCCGCGCATGCCAGGCGAGCGCGTTACTGCTTGAGCCACATCCCCAGCCCCCCAATCTTCTTTTCCCTAACCTTCTCCCTGATCTTTTTTTCCCTGAACTTCTCTTCCCTCATTTTCTTTTTCCTAACCTTCTCCTTCCTGATCTTCTCCTTCCTGATCTCTCTAATCTCATTTTCTCTGAATCACCTCTTTAAAAACCCCCTATTCCCAATGATGGCAGAATCCCAGACTCTGGGACAGGAGTCCCCTGTGTTTCTCCTTTGGTAGCAAAGCAATAGGACATTTTCCTTTTCCTCAAGACCTTGTCTTCCTTATTGGATTGCCATYGGAGACAAAGACGGAGCTTTCTTTACACTTAGAGAATTAACATTTTGTTTTTGACATTACAGTTTGTTAGATAAAATTCATGGGAGACCATTGGTTTGGACTGAGCTCCTGCATTAGGCTCAACAGAACTAACCAAAATGGATTCATTCATTCATGCTGAATTTTCTTGTCACCTAAGTTGTTATTGACCTGAGAAATCAAATTACCAAACGAGTCAGTTCCAGTCAGCATGCCACTCCCTCTGTTTTAATCCTTATAAAAAAGTAACAAGGCTGGGTGAGATGGCACACACCTGGAATCCCAGCAATCAGGAGGCTGAGGCAAGAGGATGGAAAGTTCAAAGCCAGCCTCAGCGAGGGCCTAAGCAATTTAGTGAGACCCTGTCTCAAAATAAAATATTAAAAACGCTGGGGATGTGGCATAGTGGTTAAGCAGCCCTGGGTTCAATCCCTGGTATAAAAAAAAAAGTAACAAGAAGTAACTTGATGTTAACCTGTTATTTTTCTATTGTTCTGTTCCCCAGTTCCCATTTTACAAGTAAATTTAAAATTACCAATCCTTTTTTTTTTTTTTTTTTGTTATTCCTGCTTTCTTCAACTCTTTTCTCTCTGTAAAATCAATTTTATCTGCTCTGTTGGAACACTCATACAACTTTATGGAATAAAGGATTGCAATTTTGTTTTTTGACAAATTCTTAGTCCCAATGGAGTTGGTTTTCTAAATGATAAAAGATGGTGATGCAATTTCTTCTTTTTTTCCACATAAATCCAGACCCAGGTAAATTTGTTATTGTGTTCTCTTCCATTTGGTCAGTTTGCCTGTAGCTGCACCAGTAACACCTGTCTTAATTATTATAGCTTCATTATAAATCATGATATCTCACATAGGGTAAGTCTCCGATCCCAGAAGTGTTCTGATCATTTTTAGACCTTTACACAACCCCATCAATTTTAACATTTTCTTCTGGAAAAAAATAAAAATAAAGATATCAAAATTCTCATTCCACATAATTTTTCAAAGCTCTCATGCAGTGTGTTTTAGTTTTAATATTTGCTTAATATGTGTCTGTAATTGTAGTCCCTTTTCATTAAAATTATTTAATTTTACCCATTTTTTGCCCTTGTTATAAACTTGTCTGTCTTCCTCATATTTGTATTTTTGTTTGTACTTTGATTTCTTTTCATATTTTTATCTTGTCTATTTTCTTTGGGCATACTCTGATACTCTTATCTCTAATATCTGAAGTTAGACTTTAATGTAATAGTTTTTAGTCTTTACTCTTTTCTAATAGGATATTTAAAGGTATTAAATTATCTTAGAGCACTGCTTTGCTGTATTCCATAAGAACCAATATCTATTTTTTTTATTATTCATTTCTAGGGAGCTTTAACTTTCATTATCATCTCTTCTATAACCCTCGAATTACTTAACCTTTTTAAATTCCAAATATGCAAGAATTTTGACTTACCTTTTGTTAATAATTTCTCTGTGTTGATTATGTTATATAATCAGAGAATATGGTTTAGCTGAAACCTGTTCTGATAAATTTTTTGGTGCTTTGGACCAAATAACTGATCAATTTTTATAAATATTCTAAATATACTTGAAAAGAATATACTTTTTCTAGTGGTACAGTAGGTCTATAATGATTATAATGATTTTGGACCTTGTCTCAAAGTCTTTGGTCTTATATTAACATAGTTCACAGTATATTTAGTGGGGTTGGACTGGGACTTTCTGTGGGAATCCTGTGCTTCTTATAATTGTCCTACATGAAGGGTTTAGCACATTTCTATCAGATGTCTAAGAGCATGACCTACCCAAGACCATTCTGGATAAGTATAGTAGAATTAAGGGATTCAAGAGAATATAGTTTTCCCAAATGCCATATTATATAGGCTGGATAGAGAAAAAAGTGAAGTTAGGAAGGGACTTAACTATTAAAGGAAGAATGCTCTTTGATGTTTTGTGTGTGTGTGTGTGTGTGTGTGTGTGTGTTGCTGGGGATTAAGCCCAGGGCTTTGTGCATGCTAGGCAAGTGCTCTACCATTGAGCGATAACCCCAGCTCCTTCTTTTTGATTTCCAAGAGCTGAAAGAATGGGAATACACTGGACAGAACAGGAAAGATATATTCTTGTGATCCAAGAGWGAAATGGCAGTGCCTTTTTCATTAAAAAAGATAGCACATGGTCCATCTGCGTACTCCATATCTATGTGCCTCTCAAATCGATTTCCAACAATAATACATTTAATATTTGACATAATTAAGAAAGCAAGGATGAGAGACATCATAGCTGTCTTGGTCTAAATAAGATAAATGTGGCATTTCTTTTCTTTTTTGTTAGTACTAGGGATTGAACCAAGCACCTTGCACATTCTAGGCAAGTATTCTACCATTGAGCTACATCCTAGTCCATCCCCTTTATTTTATTTTATTGGACAGGGTTTCAATATGTAGCCCAGATGGCCTTGAGTTTGCAATCCTCTGTCTCAGCCTCCTCAGTAGCTAGGATTATAGGTATTCATACCCTGCTGAAATATGCCTCTTTAGATGCAGTTTCCTCCCTTGTATTCCCAGCCCCAGTATAAATTGGAAGCTGATGAAAGTAGGGAAAAGAGCCTGCTCAGAAAAGGTAGTTTTATCATTTTACCCACCAGGTTTCATTCACAAATTAAATTGTATACTTTAACCTTAAAAACTAAAATCCAAAATCTTCCACTCATATTTTCTCCCTCCTGAGGTTTTTGTCTCATTATGTAATGAAAAGGATATTATAATAAGTTCATAAGAAGTGGGAGGTTGCTCCTACTTACTAGGAAAAAAAACTTGCTGGTTATATTTTATTTTAATTTATAGGGATAAGTAACAATACATGAACATATCTTCTTATTTGATCTATATGTTTGTTAGTCAGCTTTTGCTGCTGTAACAAATCACCTAAGAAAATTTAACTTAGGAGAGAAAAGGTTTATTTTGGCTCATGGTTTCAGAGGTTTCAGTGCATAATCAGCTGGCTCCGTAGCTTTGGGCCTGAGGCAAGGCAGAACATCATGTGGGAAGGGCCTGGCAGAGGATAGCTACTCACCTCATGGCAGCTAGGAAGCAGAGAGAGAGAGAAAAGAAGGGGCAAGGGACAAGATATACCCTTCCAAGGGCATGCCCTTGATGACCTACTTTCTCCAACTAGGCCCCCACCTCATATAGTTTTCACCACCTCCAAATAGTCTCCTCAAATTAATTAATACATCAATGGATTGATGCACTAATGAAATCAGACCCCTCATGATCCAATCGCCTCTCCCCAAAGGTTCTACGTCTGAACTTTGCTGCACTGGGAACCAAACCTTCAACATAGAAGCATTCGGGTAACATTCCAGATCCAAACTAACATCCATCTATCTATCTATCTATCTGTACATACATACATACATACACATACACACTATGTTTGATTATACTGATGACTAACATTTATTGAAAATAAGTATTTGGAGCATTAGTAAGGCTTGTTTAATTCTGGTAAAGGAGTTACATAATAATACCCTAGCATCCTGCTGCACACACACACACACACACACACACACACACACAATGTCTCTGACTTAAAATTTTAGGGATGGAGAAATTACAAAGGCAATTAAGTATACAGTGTAGACATGAAGTAGATTATTGAAGTGAATGGAAAGTGAAGGAATTTTAAGGTGCTGCTTTATGATAGTCACTGACCACATATGACTTTTGAGTACCTAAAATTTAGTCAAAATTGAAATGTGTTGTAAGTATAATACACAAGATTTCAAAGATTTAGTACAAAAAGGAATGTAAAATAACTCACTAATTGTTATTTAGTACTGGTTACATGTTGAAAAAATACATTTTTCATTTWAAAAAAATTGTAGTTGTAGATGGACAGCATGCCTTTATTTTATTTGTTTATTTTTATGTGGTGCTAAGGATCAAACCCAGTGCCTCATGCATGCTAACTAAACACTCTGCCACTGAGCTATGGTCCAAATCCTGAATAAATGTATTATTAAAATTAATTTCATCTGTTTCTTCTGTGCTTTTACTGTAGCTACTAGAAAATTTTTAATTACATGTGCATAAACAGCTTGCATTATATTCCTATTGGACAGTGCTGTTTTAGATGCATTAGAAAGACGAAAAAAATTGAAGTAGCCTAAACTCAATCATGAACAATAGTCACAGAAATTTGCTCTTCAATGTTCTAAATGAGAAAAACTGCTTTTCCAACATTGCAATCCTTATTGTTTTCATTTTAACTTAGTTTATAAGTAAAGGAGTTAGAGTTAATAATTTTCAACAGTGTTTTTTAATATTTATTTTTTTGGTGTAGATGGACACAACACAATGCCTTTATTCTTTTATGTGGTGCTGAACCCAGTCCCGCCCGTGCGGTAGAGTGAGTGCTCTACCACTGAGCCACAATCCCAGCCCTCAACAGTTTTTACGCTACAAAAAATATGTAAAGAGTATTTACTTACCATTTCTTTTTAATGTCTTTAGGTACTGAGCAATGTAAAAAGGTTAGTAGAGCTCATTGATTACCTCCACTTTAGCTCTGAGTTCAATTTGCAGGAAGGGGTTTGGGTGGAAAGGTAAAGTTCGTGGCAGCCCATACTCTGACCATGTAGAGAACCCCTCCTATTTGGAGGAGAAAACAGTGTTAATGTTTATATTTGGCCTTTTCCTCCACAGGTATTACAGTAACAGCCCGCACTACTTCATTTTTAATACTAGAAGTGCTGTAAGTATTGACTCTTTAAAATTACAGTTAAATATGAATGTAATTCATTCCTCTATTGTGATGTATGTAAGAAATAATAAAAATAAATAAATAAATAAAACTACAGTTGAGTATTAAATATTTTTGAACCTTCAAACAGAGAGTAGAGTTAATCAAACTGTTTTCTAGCTAACCATTACTTTTATTTTTATTTAATTTCTTTCATCCTATTTATCACCCTAAAATAGGTCTCTTCTCCAATATATGTCCTTAAATATGTGTGCCCTTAAATACATATGTAGCAAAATAGACAGTGTTTTGTGTGTTTTTTGTGATTTAATATTCACAAAATGATGTTATGATACAGACAGTATATTGTCCAAACTATTGAGAATAAAAGAGAATGCTATTAATAATTATTCAATAGGCATAAGCTTACAACAAGTGTAAACTAGAACTATCTAGACTAATATAGATGTGGGGGTGACTCCAGCTTTAGACCTCATTCTCTATATTACTTTTTTCTTTCAATTCTACACTTTGTCTAGTTCATTTCTTTTTAATGCTGCCTAATTACTAGTATATATCAATTATATTTTATTTATATATTTCCTTAATGATGGCCAAATAGCTTTCTACCACCATAAACAACACAGTGATAAATGCTTTATAAATTATAACTGTCCTTTTACATATCTACACAAAAATTTTTCTACTGTATGTAGCCAAGAGAGGAGTTGATACGCCACAGGGAATACAGATTCCTAATTTAACTAAGTTCTACAGGATTATTTACAGAATGGAACTTATGCTGTCACTCAATGTACTTCACCAAAAAATTAGTATGATTAAATTTTCTATTTTTTACTCCTCCCATTACTACACAATGGTAGCTTATTGATGGTATTTCAATTCTCTGATGACTTGTGATTTAGAACACAACGTCACATATTTATGTAGGGCTCTCCTTCTATGAATTATCTGTTTATATCCTTTGCCCACCTTCCATTCAATTTTCTGCCTTTTTCTTGTTGATTTACAGAGTGCTGTCTGCATCCTACTCTATATTTTAATGTTGGTTTCAAACACTTCAGTTACCTCTAACTAACTTTGTCCATGAATACTTTATTGGGAGAGGGGGGTGATTTTTGATAATCCAAGTCCCTTTTCTCCCATTTTGTTTTGGTGATATAAACTTTGGGGGTTGTCTTTATCTAAGAAAAACCCTTGTTCACCTTGAGTTGTGAATATTTTTCTCATACATTTTCTTTTATATCCCTTACATTTTTACCTTTAAAATACATGTCATAAATCCATCTGGAATCCACCTTCTAYGTAATATAATAGGCATTCACATAAATACTTTTTCCATATAGTGAACCAGAATTTATTAAAAAACTTACTGTTTCCCTATTGTTTTTCTGGTGTTCTCTTTGTTCTATATAAAGATAGCTTGGTTTTAAAACTCTCATCTGACTCAGTACCAATTCTATACCCTCTTACTCTATAGCTTGTTACTGAATCTTCATACCTGTTAATGTGAATGATTTGATTTGTTCTTCCATGAGACTGATTTGGATATTTATGTCTCTTTGCATTTTTATGTAAATTTTAGAGTAACACACACAAATATGTTTAGATTTTCATTGGGTTTGCTTTTGGGAAGAATTGATAATTGGTTATAATGGGAATCGGCATCATTATAATATAGAATCTTCCAACTGATGGAGAATGATGCCCTCCAGAGTTGTCCTGTTCATCTTATTCCTAACTTTAGTAAATTTTTCTAATTTGTCCCAGTTAAACATAATGCTCACTCTTGAGCAGATATATATATAAAATTAAATTAACAAGGTATCTACTAACTCCTAATTTATGAAATATTTGTAGCAAAAAACAGTTACTATAAATAGTGACATGTGTATTATAGTGAACTTTTTAATATTTTCATGATCTACAGAAATAACCATATGAACTTTTCTCCTTAGGTAAATTAACATAATAAATCACGGTAATATATTCACTTATATTGCATCATCCATTATAGTATTATTGCATTCCAGAAAAAAATTTCCCTTGGTACCAGTGTATTATTATTTTAATATGCTTCCAGATTCCATTGTTAGCATTTTATTGAATATTCTTTTAATAGTATTTACCAGAGAGTACTCCATAGCAGTGATGCCATTGAAATTGTGGAAAACTTTTTCTTGTGTGAGTCTATCCCATCTTTTGCAGGATAACTTGCTTCYCTTGTTCTCAAACACAAAATGACAGGAAAACTCCCAGTCATTGTGTAACCTAACACACTCCTCCATATTTCCGAATACTGGCGAGGCAAAGCAGAATTCAGTTAGTATGCAAAGTGTAGCATACTGTTTAGTACCTACTTGGAATTGTCAGTGCCTGTGCTGTACAATTTGTTGAATACTTGTAATTGTTTTCCCTGCCTTCAAGAGGGAGTATGTAGCAGTCAAGGATTAATGTGGACAGCAGCAAGCACTCTTTTTGCAGGCAGAAACTGATGAATGGATAGATAAAATGTGGAAGAGCTATGTAATGGAATATTATTGATTAATAAAAATGAAGTGCTGACACGTGCTCCATCATAGATGAATCTTAAAAACTTTTTACTAAGAGAAATAAGTCAGTTACAAAGAACTACTACACATTGCATGATTTCGTTTGTATGAAATGTCTAGAATAGGAAAATCTATAGACAGTCACTTGGTGATTACCTAGGGCTGGGAGTTAGGGGTTGGGCAGTAACCTCAACCCAGTATCGCCAAATAGCTCTTGGTATTCAAATTTCCAATTGTTTTGCAAATTTCATTTTTGCTTGCTTATGTATATCTGGATCCAGATAAAGGTTATACACCATGCATAGTTTGTATATATCCTTAGGTCCTTTTGTAAACAGGCAAATTTATTGAAATTTTATACAGAATAACATTTATTTATGTTAAGCTTAGAGTTCGATGAGTTTTGAAATGCCTACAATTGCATAATCACAACAATAATAAAGGTACAGAATGTTTACATCTCCCCCAGAAGTTCCCTCAGGCTCTTTGCAGTGAGGCCACACCCTCTCCCACCCCAGCTACTGGCAATCACTGTCTTCCTGTTCCTGTAGTTTTCCCTTTTCTAGATCATCAAACATAGATGAAATTGTATAACAGTCTTTTTTGAGTCAGTTTTCTTTTCACTTAGCCTAGTGCTTTCAGATTCATTCATAATGTTCATAAGAGTACTTCATTCCTTTTTATTGTTGAGTAATATTCCTTTGCCTTTGTGGGTCACTAATTTAGGCCTTTTTCCCTCAGCTTTAGCTTGTCTGCTTTCTCTTTGCTTCCTTATACTGATTTCACCTGAATCTGCTGAATTTTGGTCACTTATTTCAACCAACTTTTGGGATATCAAGAGATATCTTGTCATTGAGTTCTCTTATTGATGCTGTCCAGTGATTTTCTTTTTTTTTTTTTTTTTGGTCAATTTTTTTTTTATTGATTGTATTGATTGTTCAAAACATTACAGAGCTCATGATATATCATCTTTCAGACATTTGACTCAACTGGGTTTTGAACTCCCATTTTTACCCCAAATACAGATTGCAGAATCACATCTGTTACACACTCACATTTTTACATAATGGCATATTAGTGACTGTTGTATTCTGCTACCTTTCCTATCCCCTACTATCCCCCCTCCCCTCCCCTCCCCTCCCATCTTCCCTCTCTACCTCCTCTGCTGTTGTTCAATTCTCTCCCTTTTTTTTCCCTCCCCCTTGCCCCTCACAACCTCTTATAATTTTGTGTATCATTGAAGGTCCTTTCTATGTTTATAGGGAAGTTTGAGTATATTGAAAAAACACATCACCACTGTCCTTTCTCAATGTTCTTTCCATTGTTTCTTTCCTTCTTCTCCTCTTTCTCCTCCTCCTCTTCTTTCTTCTTCTTCTGGTAGTGCTGGGTGCTCTACCACTGAGCTATATTTCCAGTCCCTTTTTTATCTTTTACTTTGAGACAGAGTCTCACTAAGTTGCTGAGACTGGCCTGAAACTTGTGATCCTCCTGCCTCATCCTCCCAAGTAACTGGGATTATACTTGTGTGCTACCACACCCAGCTTCCCTGGTTTTCTAACTTCCTATTTTTTCCTCATTCCTTTCATTTTTTTGACATTTTCTTTCCTGTTGTTTCTTAAATTTTCATCTTACACTGAAAACTGAGTTTATTCGCTTTCAAACTATCTTATTTCTTCTGAATACGTTTAAGGTGTTTAAGGCTCTACGTCTCCTCCTGGAGACTCCTTAGACTCACATATCGCAAGTTTTGATAATATCAAATGTGTTTATTTACAAATATTTTGTAAATTATTGTTATGTCTTCTTCCATGAATCATTTAGAAATACAGGAGTTTGTTGTTGTTGTTGTTGTTGTTGTTTTTGGTTTGGTTTGTTGTTCCTTTAAGATAACAAATATCCTAGGATTTTTTTCTGGCTAACTTTATGAGAAATTTTCATTAATATAAAAAGGCATGGTATATGAAAAAATGATTCATTGAGATTAGTTAAGATCTTCTTTTATAAATATGATCAATTTGGTAAATGCTCTATGTGAAATTGAAAAGTATGTGCGCATTTTATCTTGGTTAKTTTTAGRAATGTATATATTTTAAACATAYGTATCACGGCCCTTATTAATGATGTTTTTCTAGTCTGTGAGTATCCTTTTTTTCAGCTTATCTATAGTTTGAGGAAAATATATTAAAAACCTACCACTATACTAATGACTAAATTTTTCTCCTAGTAATTCTATCAAATTTTGTCTTATATATTTCAAAATTATTTTCTATCTTCTGATTGATTTTTCTCTTTTTTCTTATACATTGCCATTAAATCTGTAACATCAAGTCTATGAAACAGTTGATATTATAATCCCATATTACAAATTAGGAAACAATTAATATTGACATACGCATGTGACCATAATTTTTGTGTAATAAAGATAAGAGGGTGAGCTAGGGTTCCAACTCTAGCTAAACACTACCATACCRATGCTGAGCCTAAGACTAACAATGTCAGAAAGTATCTCGCTATATTTCAGAAGGTGAAAAAAAGAATTTGTGAAAGAAAGAATTATAAACAAAAGAACTGAAAGGCAGGGTACCTAAACTGGTCAGGATTACTCCAGGAGAACTGGGCTGGAATGAAGTAATGACACAAAGACAGASAAACACCTTTTTCTTTGGGTTCTGCCATGGCCTCTCTGACCCAGCTCCCACCAAGGAGGCAAGGCAGGCAAGAAAGAGGGGGAGCACCTCGAACCGGGGTTTTACTAATGGGGGGAGCTAATCCATGGAACATTCTATCCAAAAAAAGGGCAGAAGGGTAGGATTACAACCAACAGATGGGTGTAATTCAACCCCATCCGGTAACGCTCACTCCCAGAGCTMCACGTGTCTTATCTGAGCGGAGGTAAAGTCCAGTTGCATTGCAGGGTGCAATACCAGTCCAGTACCTCTTTACTTAGAACTTAAAGGGGTGTACATAGCTCCTGAACAGGGTGGCCTCTGACAGCAAGGTGAAAAATAGCTGCAGAAATAAGGAGAAGGTAACCAGTGAAGTTATTATGGTCATTGATGATGTGTAAATAACAGGACCTCAGAATGAAATGAGATTTGTTTTTTAAGTAAAGGATTATGTCTTTCTTACCCTTTTTTAATCCCCAGAATCTGTCAGTCTGCTCCTAGCTGCTTAATAAGTAAAATAAAATTAAGTGTACTAGGGATGGGAATATAGCTCCATAATAGAGTACTTACTTAGCATAAGCCAGGTCYTGAGTTCAATCCCGAATACCCACTCCCCAGTTAAAAGTTTATAGACTTGGGGGAGACTCCTGAAAAGTCCCAGGAAGTTACTTTTCCTTTGTCATATTACTTTGTACAATTTTAAAGCAATTGAATTTTAGTTATTCTATCTTTAAATAACAAGGTCTGAGAATATTGAACCCTACAACCAAACACTGAGGTGTGAACATTTTGAAGCTCATTTTTCATTTGAACTCTGTAATTTTCTTTACAGATTAAGTTAGAGTATGAAGGAATATATTTTTCTGAGTGGAATGTGCCAGAAGATTGTCAGATTGAAAATAAAAAGTAAGACTTTTACTGTGAATGTAAATTCATATATGTATTTACACTTAAAAAAGCATTCATAGCCACACTGTGGCATGTGCCTGTAATCCCAGCAACTCAGGAGGCTGAGGCAGGAGAATTGCCAGCTCAAGATCAGCCTTGGCAATTTAGCAACACTCTGTCTCAAAAAAAAAAAAAAAAAAAAAAAGGAGAGAGAGAGAAAATTTTTTTGCTATATTTAAAATTTTCTCTTAGCATTCAACTGAAGATTTTAGGGTTAAAAAAAAAACAGTGAGGCAATTTTTATTCAACTTGTTTGCATCTGTTATTTCTTCTTTCCTATTCTTTTTAAACACTAGATCACCCGTGACAGAACTGCGTTGTACTTCTCCTGGTTCTTATATTATACAACCAATTGTTACAGGCCCAGTAAGTTGATTTTAATGATAACTTATTGACACTCGAATAATCATAACTGTTTTGTTTTATTTTTCTTTTGAGTTTTTCAACCAAATTTGTCTGTTTTAAATAATATTAAATAAGAGAAAAATTTAAAAATTATTGTTGATATGTCATTAATTTTTAGATATATCTCATGTCAAATAATAAGTTATGAAATGGTATCTGATTTTACCTTGTTTATGGGGATAGGAATTAAACCAGGGTCTCAGGCCTGCTAGGCAAGTGCTGTACCACTGAGCTACAATCCCAATACCTACATTAGCCTTTTTTATTAATAACAATTATAAAGTCCATAGGCAGCACCTTAAGATAACAGTACTCTCAAATCAATGAGTCTTATGTCATGCACTCTGTGGCAATACCCAGGATTGAAAGGAATTTCTAGCAGACTTGTTTAATATTCTACTGCATTTTCTTTAATTCAAGAAAGCATACGTAAATGCAAATGAAAGAGAATGATGTCAACTCTTCTCTAGTTTACCAAGTAAAATGTTTACAAAGTGAAGCATTATAAGGCATTGGCACTTTAATGATTAGTAACAAAGTACTGGCCACATTATCTGACAGCTGATGTGCCCACACAAGTATAKCTGAATCTACTTGACAAAACCTGCTTTTACTTTGGGATTTAAGACTTCTCTTTAATTAATTAACTTTTTTTCAAGATACAAGTAGACAGAATGCTGTGGGAGTGGCCAGCTGAATATTTTTCATTTTTCAATCCCTAGAGAGTGGACAATATTTGTATTTGTCTTTTTGAGTCTTTAAGTAAATGTACCAGTTTTAAGAACACAATTCATGAAGAAGTAAAGGGCTCCTCTCCCTTTTATGTTGTAAGCCCATATGTTTTAGTCAGCTTTTATATCACTGTGACCAAAACACTCAACAAGAACAACTTAGAAAAAGGTCAAGTTTATTTGAGGCTTGAAGTTTCAGARATCTCAGTCCGTAGAAGGATAGCCCCATTGCCCCGGGCCGAMGGAGTCAGAACATCATGGGGGAAGGGTGCAACTGAGGGAAGATGCTCTCCTCCTGGCAGCAAGGAAGCAAAGAGAAAGAGAAGGGGCCCCGGGGAAGATGCACCCTTCCAGTGCAKACCCACCCACTCCAGCCACGCCCAACCTGCTTCGAGTTCCATTCAAACTAGAATGGGCAGATGAGGTCACAGCTATCATAATCTAATCATTTCATGTCTAAATACTGCTAGGAGACCTCTCAGAGCACCAAATAAATGTGCAATGTTGTGTAACAATATGCATACACCTATTCATGTAGGAAGATCTGTGTCATTTATGTGTCTGAGTGTCATTTGATTCTGTAACCCAGCTAAGGAGATATATCAAACTTTTGAAATGTACTCAAAAGCACTGAGTTTTGACAACCAAAAGCATTTYCAGGTATTGTAAAATGTCCCCTGGGGAGTAAGATCACCTGAGAACTTTTGAACCAGGAAATTAATTGAATTATATATCAATAAGAAAGAAAAATACAATAATAATAATGTCTTTTAATTTGTCAWTCATGATAGTAAATTCTTAATTACAGAGAGTAACTAGAGAATTGAGCTAGAATCATATGTATATTTATCCTGTTCTGAAATTTACTTATTCATCTTTATCTGATCTTAGAGAAGTAATTTAGTTCCTCTATGACTTTTATGCCAATGTTCATAAGTGTATTTATTTTAAAGTTAACTTAATACATTCTAGTTTCGTCTGCATTTTCTTTTAGGAAAAAGAAGAAAAACGCTATTTGACAGTGGATTCTTCTAATGTTTGTTTTCTGTGGTATTATACAGTTACGTAAGTAATGCCATTTGAAATACAAAGAATTAATGCTTTTAGAGTATTTAGCTTCAGCGTTTAATTAATCACAATTGCATGGCCTATGTTATGRTTTTCATACAAACTTTTCTCTACCCACATCTTGGTTGCCAAAGTAATACTGAACAACAAATAATGAAAATACCAACAGTAACCACTATTTGAACACAACTATGTCTACATGTTCATACTTACATACATTGTCTTTCTCAACTTTTATAATAACCATATAAATGCAAGCACTATTTTCTTTAACTGATAAGAAAACATAAGATAAGTTAAATGATTTGAACAAAAATACAAAACTATATATCTAACAAAAAGGCTCTCTTTGTCTTGTGTAACTCTTAAAATTATTTTTTAGGGGGTACTGGGGATTGAACTCAGGGGCACTCAACACTGAGCCACATCCCCAGCCCTATTTTGTATTTTATTTGGAGCCAGAGTTTCACTGAGTTGTTTAGCACTCACTATTGCTGAGGCTGCTTTTAAATACTTGATCCTCCTGTCTCAGCCTGTCAGGCTACTGGGATTACAGGCATATGCCA